TGATTGTCAGAGAGACACTGATGCTGATTAGTAGTTCGGCCAGCGGCTTGCAGCCAGTCAGTCTGGAGTGCTCGCTTCAGTTCAGTGGGCTTGACAGATGTTGATTGTGCTTGGTTCTGGACTTTGACAGAATATCCACATTATCAGTCCACCCTTGTGGAAGTGTCTTCTACCAAACACTTTGGGACAGCTTGCAGGACCAGTCGTTCCTGAGGAGAGATGATTTGATAACCTTTGTTTTGTAATTCATACCACTGGCTAAATAATGTTTAGAGATTGTTCAGAAATATAGCCAACAGAAAAAAGACCGGAGAATCCAGAGTGACTTGAGTGGATATATTAGGGTTGGAGTAAAGAGGTTCAAGATCTGCTATAATGATTCCTGTATTTGGATTGTACACCACAACTAGAAAAAGGAGCTTTCTACTGACACAGCTAGCCTAATTCTATCTTTTGCCTTTTGAGAAACCACCCATATTTTAATGACTTTGAAAAACAAAGGTTATGGCGTGTGATGCAGCCAGTTCCCCTGGAAGAAGTTGACTTTGAGTTTATGCCAATAAACCGAACACATTCAATGTACACCCACTGAGTACATTTACAGATTCCATTATATTGCCAACTTCATTTGACTAGATTTCATTAAGTTTTACATTTAACATTGCACTTAACAAAATTTCATAGAAATTTACACGTGAATGAATTACTTAAAGTTAGTATTTTGAGTGTAAATACGTTTTGGATCTACCAACACCTGGTTTACACTGGTGAGATGCTGGTTTCTATCCCTTTAAGGAACCTGTCCACATTTCCAAAGGTTTGACGAGATTCTGCTGATGGACGAAAATCTGTGGGAGGAAAATCAGAGTAAAGAGGAGCTATGGGTAATATTAGCAAATTATGGTTGAATTTTTACATTTGAACACTGAAATTTTGTGGTGCTGGACATCTGCTCACCATCTGGTGGCAACATCTTCTTTCACTGGGCAATAGGAAAGTGGACTTTTCATTCCTACTGGTGGAAAGTAGCAGAAGTAATAGAACTGTCCCACAGGACTATCTTAAGATGCTTTTACTTTTATTTTTCTTGAGCTAGAACATTTAGAGAAAGACAGCTGCAGGTTTTTTTGTGTCATGTATGGTATGTGAGGCAAAGACAAATGGAGTTCCACCTTCTTTAGCATAAAGAAATATGGCATATTTGGCATATATATAAGCTTTACATGTCACGACTCTAATAGCATCTTTTTACGACATTGGAGATAAATGACATTGGAATTCTATCTTGTTTATTTTGTTTTTGATTCGGTAATGCATGACAGTCAGAGTCTGCTGATTGGCCCATTTACTCCTGCATGGACAGCAAAGTTGATCCTTCGTCGGGAGTCAGGGTCATTATTAAGGAGAAAACTCACTGTCACATCATGAGATCCTCGTGCTTTTCATCCCAAGGACTTTCCACTTCTCCAAGCAGGTGTTTAGAAGTCTGGATTAACACCCCACCATCGCTACACACTCTTTTTTTCGCCATTGTTCCTTCCCTCCCCTCCATTTCTCCCTGAAGAAAATTAACACTCTCCTCCTACCCCAGGTGGCTAGGGGAGGGGCGGCCGGGATGGAGAGGCGGGGAGGGCGGAGGAGTGTCGAGAGCTGATTTATCTGAGCCTGTCAGGCCCTGGGAGGCCTCGGTAGGTGTTTGTGTGTGTTGGGTGAGGGTGGTGGTGGTGGGGTTCTGTGTGTTTACAATAGGTGCAGGGAGAGAAGTGTCTCTCCCACCTTGGCCCCTGGGTTGGCACAGCGGAAGCCCCTCTCTGTCTCATTAGGATGTGTGTATGTGTGTGTGTATTATACAGGGGTGCAACAGTGTGACAGTTCAAAGTGACATTCACACTTTTTCTCCTGTCCTCTTTCTCACTTTTACACACACAGCAAAACCACACACACACACACACACACACACATAAACACAAAGGAGTGGGAAAAGGTGTCAATATGTGACGTTAGTCCCGATGCCTATATGATACCTTGATTCGGTTGCAAAGCCAGCAAGTAAAGATTGGTCATCCACCAGCTCTTCTAAATGGGCCACTTATATATACACACATAATACGTCTGTTAGGTGTTTTATTATTTACTCATTTCACACTGAAAAGGAAAACTGTTATGTTTGTACTGCTTTTCATCACTAAGGGGGAATCCCCGTCTTTTCATATTAACAGTGTGGTAAATAACCTCCACTTTTAGCACATTCTTAGGCTTAACTCTAAACTATTAATTCCCCAGGGATACCACATGACCCTCTTACAACATACCAATTACCCACTGCTTCTCAAATTCAATTTTTAACCTTGCAAAAATTAGGCCAAACTCCTGCTAGATTTAGTAAGTGCCTATCTATAGCTGTATGTGACTTTTTTCAGTATCTGCCAAGCCACCGTCCCCCTTTTTTGATGGGAACTATATCACTGGTAGCTTTATTTCTCCTTCTTGTGAAACAGGATAGACAACAAGAATGCGTGCGATGGTATTTGTATGGTGGAGTCGGAGGTTTAACATCATGAGTCATGAGTCATGAGGTATTTCTGGACAATGATACCCCCAATGATTGTTGGTATACCATCTGAAATACTTGTATATTAAGCACCACTGCTTTGTGATTGGGCAGAAAAAAGTGGTGTGGCTTTGTTTGGTTTCACTATATTGTGAAATGCAGAATTATTCCATGTCAGCCCACCTGGACATACCTGTGTGACAGCACCTGCAGGGTTACTGCACATTCTGGCACCCAAAACTGAATCCTGGACAGAAAACACCTGTCCCATGACCACAACCAACTTCACACCTGATAAATGGTAACACGAAGACTGATGTTAAACATAATTGTTACCCTCTTTTTCTTTTTATAAAAATATTTCCTCTTCCATCTTGCTTTTGTAAATCACTATGATGTGGACGGGTTTGTTTTTGGCAGCCAGTCAGAGGCAATTTCTCTTTCCAAGATTGGATTTTTGAGCAGATTCCCTCTTGAAGCAGATTTTCTCATCTCTCTTTCCTCTTCTTTTATGTGCTCTGGCAATATAGAGGTACCTCTCTGGCGCCACCTTGCCAGATCACACTTTCTTCCTGGTAAAAGTGAGTTTTTATTCTCCACTGTTGCCAGATGCACATACTATATTTGGTTTGCTGGGGTTAGTCTGTATTTTTGCACAGTACTTACCTTACTGTATGAAATGGCTCGAGATAACAGTTGTAAAGAAGCAGTATATACAAATAAATGACAGTAAATTAAAATTGAGTAAGCTTTAATTACTCAATATTTGCATTAAGAAGAACACATTTGTACATGTGGAAATTTACTTTATAGTTCTTGGACATACAAAAAGTTTAAACTGAACAAAATGTGCATTAAAATCCATCATATGTGTCAATAACTATCAGTCCTAAAATAGTTTATACACTATTGTTTTTTGCAGGTGTGGTAAATGGTAATGATAAGTTAACTAGTAGTAACTAGAACTTTTCAACTCTAACTGAGCAATGATATTAATTGTAAAGTGTGTTGGTGTTTTACTGACACAGTCTACTACAAGGTGATGACTGGTGGTGCAAAACACTGCAACATAGATAGGCACTGATACAGAGACCTGTAGATAGGGATACATGCCTTTAATACCTGTTCTAGAAACTTGGAGATTTCTTTGTTGTTCAGAAATATGATGAGCAGATGTCCTACATTATGTCAGCATTTTAAAAATCACACACCGTGAGTGATCTGAGTGTGAAATACTGAATGCTCGTACTGTAGCAACCTGTCAACTACAAAGTGGGCCCACCCTAAAATATATTCTGTTTTATTATACCTTATCTTTTATTATGTTTCTGGACAGTAATGGGAACCATAATTTACACTTTGAATGTCATGTTGTATGCAGTAGGGCTTGAAACTAGAGTGTGAGACCATGAACTCATCATACTTACATTACAGATAAAGTGGTGGGGTTGTTTTCCCAGAGACATCTCTAAAATAGGACTTGTGGTCATTAGAAAGAATGCAGGTTTCAACACTGTCCATATTCTGTTTATATTATAGTCTCTGTATAAACACAACTGCTGTTTTCAAAGTCATACAAATAGTTCAACATAACCAAGTAAGGTAAAAATGTACAAATATTTGACTCAGTGAAAATAGCCTCTTATTACAAATATTTGTAGATATTTGAAATCGATCAGTGTCGCTTTCTAAATCAACCCTTTTTTTCCCCATTTCCATTTCCTTTTTTTTTTTTTTACACTTGAATTGTGCAGCGGTGTTTATTTAACTGCTGCTTCATTGTCAGCAGTGCAGTTATTAACCCAACACCTCCTGTTTGGGCCTTCCTCGCATTAGCATACAGGATTTATTTCACTAAACCCATTAAAACTAATAAGCACACAATTACCAAGCACGTAGCAGAGAAATATGCATATCAAAAACGCCAGAACTGTCATATTGTCCTGAACGTGTGCCAGGCTCTCCATCCTGACCATGTGGTCCGGGATTATAATAAAACTGTTCTCTGAAGAAGGCGAGTACTTTCACAGTTAGGGCTGCTTACTAATTGGACAAACATAATTACTGAGTTCCGAGAAAATGAGCATTGTCTTCATTCATCATGTTAGAAAATCTTTATCTTTTCTTTTCCTTTTTTTAAACAGCTAGCTTGCGTGTGTGCAGGCACTTAAAGGTAAAGGTCGTAGCATATGGTTGCCACAGATGAAAATGAGGTTTAAAAAAAGATATCAACCAGGGAGCTGTGAGAAAGCCTTTTTTTAACTGACAGGGAGCAACAATGAAAAGATGAGGGCTAGCGATAGCATAAATTAGTGAGGAGCAACTCTTTTCTTTTCTGATTTCTTCTTCCAGATGCCCTCTCCCGCTCACCCCCCCTCACTGTCACTTGCAATCTCCCTCCCCTTCCAAACCCGGCTTCCACTCTTGATCTATCTTTCTCTCTTTAAAGATGGGCAGAGTGTCACAGAAGAGAAGGAAGGAAGCGAGGAGGAGGAGAAGGAGGGGAAGGGAAGGGAAGAGGGGGGTATGCACTATGCAAAGCAGGGCCTCAGTAGCCAAAGTCGGCAGGCTGAGATGAGGTGTCAGCATTGCACGGGCGCACTGATGTATGAATGCGGCGAAATCAAACGCGTCACTCAGCAGACAGGAGGGGGCTGGAAAGGTGAAACCGCGTGCCGAGAGAGAGCAGCTGTACATCGGCGTCAAGGTGCTACCGTCCCTCCCTCCCTCTCCTCCGCTATCACTCTCCTCTTTTCTTCTCTTGTTTTCTTCTTCTTGTTGTTGTATTCCACTTATTTATTTATTTGCCTGCTCTTCTTCATCTCCAACTCTGTGCCGCTGAAGAGGCCACAGCCCTAACAAGGTACAGCGGTCACAAAGAGGGAGCGACAGAAATAAAGAGACACAGCTACTCAGAAAATATTAGCATATCCCCTAAGGAATACCAACTAAATTGATACCAAATGAACCCAACCCCTCCTCGTCTTCATTTTCACTCCTCTCCCCCTCCTCTCCCCCGCTCCCTCTTCTGTCTCCCAGACCTCTCCCAAGGTGTCACGGTGTCTTATTCATTAATATGTGTAAATCCTTGTTTTCATCAACACGGCAGACGGCGGGTGACATCGGGTGGGCCGGTGTCACCGCCTATCTCCGCAACTCCGGTTCATCGGCTGAGGCTCATCGCTAGGATGAGTGAGAAGAAGCTGGGAGCAGGAAAATAGGGAAGGCACAGAAAAGGGTAAACAGAGTGGGGGGGGGGGGGGGGGGGCAGGTAGACTGAGAGAGACAGACAGCTTGTTTGATTAGATGGTGACTTCATTTCAATTGCAACATATTTGTTTTTTGTTTGCTTTCTTTTTGCTATCTGTTGTGATGTTTGTGGTTTAAGGTGTCGCTTAACTGCTTCCTAAATAGGTGTTTAGATTTTGCCGTGTCTGTAATCGTTATGTAATGTGGCATATGTTTCTATTGCAGTGTGGATGTATGTGGTGAACAAAAGGATATTTACAGCACTAGCAAACAAATACTGTGGGAGGCTGAAAATCCAGCTGTAGAAATAGAATGAGCAATTTAATAGTCATTCACCAAAAAAACTTCTAGGAGTAAAATTATTTTGGGAATTTTAGACAGTCATTGAATTGATACTTACATAGCACCTTCCTACTCAATTTGGCCACTCAAACTGCTTTCTACTACAAGTCTTATTCATCCAGTTACATAGTATTCATACTCTGCTTTTAAGGTGGTGTCGGAGAGGCGGATGCTGTCCAAGATAAAGACAATGTTGGACAATGTTGTCACTCCATGACATGTTGGTCAGTCACAGGAGCTCGTTCAGTGAGAGACTGAGATTACCGAAAAGCACCACTGAACGACACAGGAAATCATTCCTGCCTGTGGCCATCTCCCTGTACAACGCATCCACTTAACACACTGTTTGCTGCTACAACTACACATGTTTCTTTTCCAACTATTTATTTATGAGTGACTTATGTATGTATATATATATGTATATATTGTACTATTCTTAGTTAGTGTATTGTCTGTCTTGTCTTAATGTTGGTTTAAAATGGAGCACTGTAACAAAAAATAATTTCCCCCAGGGATCAATAAAGTATTCTGATTCTGATTCTGATTATCTATACCTAAGCAATTTTATCTAACATTCACACAAACACTGTGATGGATGCAACTTGTGTTTCAGAATCCTTCGATGCTTCTATACATGGGCAGGTGGAGCCAAAGATTGATCCACCAACCTTCAACTGATAAACCTAGAACTGGTAAACAACCCACTTTACCACCTGAGCTATCATCACCCCCAAGATGGATGTAGTCACACTGACATCATTGGTTTGCAAAATTCTAGAAACTAATCGAGGCCTTAATTTACGAAAGCCAGGTCTCATGGTTGATATTCAGTCACTGGGAGACTCTTTAGTCTCTTAACATCTAGTGTACCATACAGAATCAGCTTGATTTTTTTCCACAATATACTTTTAAGCAATAAATTGTGAAAATATGCTGGATGTACAAATATGATACAAATTAAACTACTACTTCAGTAGACTTAACTTTAAAAAATTCTTGCCATTATTTTAATTGGTTCAGGCTATAAAGAGCTAATGTGTATACCCACCCCTGTATACCAGTCAACAGGATCATTTACTCTCACTGGTAGCTGCTTTTCAGTTTCAATCTGGTCGCCACAACACTGATAATCTCTTCCCGTGTATGTAGCCTGTTGCAGCTTAGTTAAAGTCAAGGGCTGAGGGTTGTTTTCCTGTACACTTTCATACAACTGTAAAACTGTATTGCCTTTGCTGACTGTTTGAAAGAATGCATGTTCAAGCACTGGGCTATAGTTCATACTGGGAAACGAGATGCAAAAAGGGGGAAAAATGGACAGTGTCAGCACACAAAATGACTCTGTATTTTATTCATATTCTACTTTCTGATACCAATCTAGCGTCCAGGTACCTGAATTGGACTTTTGGCACCAATTTGTTAAGGTTTCTGAGTGTGGCACACTCAGTGGAGAGATTAAAATGCAGCGCCGTGTTTCATTCCTGTTGGATCAAATTTGAGTGGAGTTGCAGGTGAGGATTTTAGAACAGGTTAAAAAGTATCACCATTTAATGACTAATTGTTAAAATGTTGTTATTCACTCTAATTTACATGTTTGAGCAAAAGTAAACATGACAAGTTTTGCTGGAGTTTTTCAGATATTAGTAGTTTTTTAATCGGTCCAAGAAAAGTGTCCATTATATTTAACCATTACTTAACCCTCTACAAGGCTACAATAAACAGACATGGAACAAAAATACAACAAGTACAAATACAAACGTAGGCATAGCTGCAGCAATTCTCGATGTATTACTTGTTACTACTTGAAGTAGTATTCGTGTATGTTACTTAATTATTCCCTGCAAAAAGTAATTAATTACACTTCTAGTCCTAACGAGAACACACACGATCATTCTTGATCATTCTACATCTCAGTGATTCCACTGTAGATGAAGTCCAAGTCTGACTGCGTATCAGAAGAGCAGGCTCTGGCTGCTTGGCTGACCTACACTCAGTGTTAACATCAGTGTGAGTTATTCACTAGCTTTTTGTAAGAATGCTGTCCGAGCAGATGCTGGCAAAGACCTGATTCTGTGTTACAGCCTGTTTGCACTTGGCAGCCATGTTCTTGCCCATTTGTTCAATAAAAATAAAAGCAATGTCCACATCTCCAGTCCTCAAGAGATCCACTGTTTTCCTTCACCCTGCACACAAACTGAAGTCAGCTGATTGCAGCAAGTTTGATCATTTTATTTTTATCCACCGATTGTGCATGAAATTGAACCTTTGTAATGCAAGTAAATACATAATTGCAATGTGAATACTGAAATTAGTAGAGCACTTTGTTGTGTTTCATTTCTGTTGGATCATTATATTACTTTGTATTACTTTGTAATGTATCACGGCCAACAGCCATCTGGAGGAGTGATAGTTTATGGCTCTGTCATACTATACTACAAATAGAAAGGCAATCTGTTTGTAACTAGGAAAAATCAGTGGTTGCCTATTAATTGCAATGTGTTTTTTTTTTTAGTCAGAGACTGTAGTAGTTGCACCCGACATGGACACACTTGTTGTAGAGGTGATTGTATAAGTCACCTGGTGGGAGGGAATCAAAAATCTCTGGGATCATCAACATGTTTTTTTGGCAAATGTGAGACGAGCCTTTGTTTCTCAACTCTTTTTTTATATTGTGGCTTGAGCTGCTGCTTTTTGAGATCTGTTAGCTTACTTTGTCTCTCAGGTTCTATAGTATAGGACATGCAGATAGCAACAGATTTACAACAAGCAGCAAGAGATTTGTGATCTTTTTCCCAATTTCTTACAGTTTATCTTCACATTATCACAAACAAATTGCATATAATTGCCAACTTGACCATAATTGATCAACTGTTGGAAGGCTGATCCCATCTTATTGTGGTTTTACCTGTATCACTGTCTTCGAAGCGCAGCGGCACGATGGTTAGCACTGAAAAGGTCCCGAGTTTGACTCCACCAGGTGGTCTTTTTGTGTGGAGTTTGCATTTTCTCTGCATGTTTGCGTGGGTTCTCTCCGGATACTCCAGCTTCCTCCCACAGTCCAAAGACATGCAGTTAGTGAGGTTACGTTAATTGGTGATTCTAAATTGCCCATAAATGTGAATGTAAGTGCGACTGGTTTTCTGTGTCTCTGTGTTAGCCTTGCAACAGACTCGAGACGGTGTATCCATGCTTTATCCCGCCTCTTGTCCAATGGTAGCTGTGATAGGCTCCAGCGCCCCACGACCAAAAGCAAAAGAGAATAGATGGATGGGTGTCTTCAAGGGAACAGTTTCATAGGCAACACTGCAAGTTCATTGCACATGTCACATGTTTCAATAATTATGGTCATGCTATGGTCTCCAGCCGCTGTCTTTGGTGAAGACTATAGCATGTGTTTAGCAGTGTGACTACAGAATGTAGAAACCAGATTATAAAGAACACAATAATAATAACAACATGGTGTTTAATATAAAATTAATTTGATATAAAATATAAACACAGTTGAGAGGAGGCAGCATGCATGTAAATACTCCTATATTGAATGGGAGAATGTAGCATTAATCCTCCAAAAAGTTTTTAAAAGTTAAGACATTATATGGGCATCAGCAATTCTACTTTTGGTCGCAGATTATAAATTCTCTTGTGTTGCTAAAATTCACAAATTTACATAAAAATATCTCAAAGGTCCTTAAAAGTGAACCATGACCCTGCCGTGTACTGTGAAAACAAAATGTTAAATCGTGGACTCTCCTCTACATCATCAGCGCTACGATACGGAAACACTGACGCTAAGCGCTAAATCTGACGCAAAATCGTCTGTCACTTTTTGCCCTGAATCACATGTATTAGCACATTTAAAAGCAAATCAAGTTGCTTTGCCCCTAAGTGCACTCATGAAGGTATTTAAGATGAGTCATCCCTTTTAAGAGCACATAAGTGGAAACAGTCACAGCCACATTTGAAACCACTTAGTTGAAACAATAGAAAAAGAATGCAATTTGCACTGCTGGAATTAGGTTGTCTGACTAAATGTGGTGATCTGGCTTCTTGAAAAAAAAAGTTTCCCATACAAGCAGAGCCTGTTTGCTCCTGACATATGCTGGACATATTAAATTATACAACATAGAGGAAAAAATCAATTAATGGCTTAGGCAACAAGTAATAAACTGTAGCTGCTCTGACATGTCGGGATGGAACTCTTGTGACACTAATACATGCTGCGTTATTTGAATAAGGGCTGAAGGCTTACTCCATTGATTTTATTACAGAAACAGCAAATTGATTTAAATAACACTGCTAATGGGAGAGTGAAATGTAAAGGTTGGATGTTGTAGTGGAACCACTGCAGGGTTCCTATCCATAAAGGCTTAAAGTAGGGACACAGTTTTATTGCTACACCTACTTGATAATTGCAGCTAAGCATCAGTCTCCCATTCCTGAATATAAGCAATTCAACCTGTTAGCATCCACCAGGTCAACGGGAACTAGTAGTATGCAATACTGTAAATTTTTGTATTGATCCAATACCAAGTAAATATTGCTGATACCAATGCTGATACTGATCCTTTTAACCTAGAGAGCAGTGTGTCATGACTCATGGAATCAGTTGTCACCCGTTTGCAAATTCTGAACA